TTGACACGTACAGTGGACGGTTAAAGATTGCTTTGAAATGTTTGGAAAGAGGTGATTCAGTGATGATCAGCAAAATCTTTTGATCAGAATTCAACTAACGTTGGAAACATTCGAGAGAAGACGACATTCCATATGAAAACTCGTGGTCGGAATACTGAACCTGCATCTGCTGGGTTTAGATATTTGGCCATATTCAGCATTTCGTAGAAATTATGCTTAAAACTTACTCTCATCTTATTTATACTGTATTTTGTAATGAAAGTAGTAGTTATTATACTTGTGTTAATTTTTTGCGACTACTGTTTCCTATATCGACTTTTATATAATCACAAGTGGTTGAGTGTGCATTTCAACGAATTAGAAATGTAAGTTTACTAAGTAAGATAATTATACGCAAATTTAAATAAATAATTAGTATTTTTAGAACTTAATGAGTTATAATATTATACTACACTTCACTTTCGTTATAATAATATTACATCAGTGAGTGGGTTGTGGTAGTATAAACTTGGAATTGATCAAAAGATAGCAGAGCTACAATCAGCATCAATCAATGATTCATGAGCGATATCGTAACTTCCTCTGATTCTTCTTCGATACAACAGCTGTCAGGTTAGGCTCCTTCACGCCAACCCGTCTCTGTACATAGCCCTGGATATACAGACTGTCCCAAAAGTCCCGGACCGGTTTAATATTTCCTAAACGACAACAGATAAATCAATAAAATTTTGCACATTAACACCACACTAAAAAATCTACTTTTTTAAGGAACTATCAGTTTTCTGTCATATCATGGGGACGTCCCACGAGGAGTCAGAAGGAAATCTTAAATAGGAGCATAGGTCAATATGCACATCAGTTTAAAGGGCTTAGCTAGCAGAGTTCAATGCCGGAAACCGCGCCTCGAAAGGATCACCCGTTACAAAATGGCGGCCGTTCAAAGATTTCTTGAACCTGCCATTTTGAATCTTTGAACGACTGCCATTTTTTACTCAGGCGTTCTTTTGAGCTTGAATTTACGGCATTGTAATCTACTAGTGAAGACCTTTAATTTGATGTGCATATCGACCTATGCTTACGCTAACAAAAATGTTCTGACTCCTAGGGCTCTGCCCCCAAATGCAAATTAAATGAATCTTTGAACCACTGTTACTCTTGACTTGGTTGTCCGTTTGAGTTTAAATTTGCAGCATTATATTCTGCTAGTAAAGACCTTTAATCTGATGTACATGTCAACCTATGCTTCTATTTAAGATTTCCTTCTGACTCCTTGCGGGACGTCCCCATGATGTGACAGAAAATTTATATTTCCATAAAAAAGTAGATTTTTAGGTGTGATGTTGATGTACCAAATCTTGTTGATTTATCTGTTGTCGTTTAGAAAATATTAAACCGGTCCGGGACTTTTGGGACAGTCTGTATATATATATTACAGTTGTAATAAACTGTCAGTTAACAATGCTTAGTTATCAATACCATTAAACTCAAGTATCTTTTATGTTACTTATTTCGTTAGTATTAAAATGTCATAAAGCATATTGCAGAGATTTTTCAAAATACAAGATAAATTGTGTAGACATAAATAATCTAGTGCTTTTAGTTTGTTCTCTAAGATTAAACAAATCATAGAGAATGAAAAGAGAGAAGTCCCCCGAGCGCTGCCTGCTTTCCTTCCATCGTAGTTAAACAAACCCAGAGACACTGCAGTATTTTAGACGCAGAAAACTTTGTCCATTGTTTAATGACATATTATTTTTGCAATGAAAAGGGCGTAAATTTATAAAGGCTTACGTTAGGAGTTTGAATGTAATTATCGATCCAGTTCAAATAACTACCAACATATTTTATTGTCATATATTTTAATAAGGTTGTTTATGAATTTACATTTGCGTTACTTGACATGCACTATTAAATACAGTTTATAATCTTACCTGGTAAAAATTTCAAAATTGGTTTTCAATATAATTGTAAAACATTTGATTGCAACTAATTATGATAGTCGATTCGATTTATTCGACGTAAATTGATCAACATTCTACGAAGTTACACAATTACTTTCAAACGTAATTGTGTGTAATGGTTTCATTTTACACTGTTTAAAATAAATTTGTCTTATTTCAAGATAATTTTCAACAGTTTGATGCTGTTTGTTTATTCTGAACTAGAATTCTTAAGGTTGTAATACATTTGGAATTAATTTTTTATGCTAAATAAAGTCAAACAAAAGTAAAACTTACATAAAAAAACAGTTAGCATTTATGTACTAATTATTTATTAGTTTTGTTAATTATAATTATTTATTTATTAGTTATTTGTTTATATATACAGGGTGATCAACTCAAGGAGGCCACCATTGGGATATCGGAAGCGGTAAGAATCAGAGAAAACTTTAAATGGGCGACGTTCCTTTATTTTTTTGTGGAAGTTAAAAATATGAATTTAGTTTTTTGAAATTCAGTCGCCATTTTACAATATGGTGGCCAACTTAGAAATTTCTTATAGAACACCCTATATTTTATCATGTTTTGGGATAGAACATGCAATTTAAAAACTTGAATTGTGTTTTATTCTTCAAACCGATTTGCCATAGATACGTGTATAAACAAAAAAGTATCGGTATGACGACTAATGAGGATCAATTTCATAAGTAAATAGCAATTACAGTAACAACAAGACTAGAACCTTTTCTAAACTAAACTGAATATTGGTGTCATAATATGGTTATAAGCTATGTTTTGTTGGTTTTGTAGCTGGGAAGAAATTCCAAATTTAAGAGTTTCACCACAGACAATTCTGTGGTTTCACTATTGTTTCCATTTACTATCTGTAAAATTAGTGGCCCTAATAGAAGTACTGAGTTATTTTAGGGCTAGTAGTTGTGGTTATACAAGGCTACGTTTGATTGTAAGATTAACACATGGGTGTTAGACCTCCGACCATCCACGTTGGGTCAATGCCAGTCAGGGTAGCTACTTCTATAGTTCATTGGCATTTTCAGGTATCATTAACAATCTTTTATACGAAGGTTTTCAAAATTAAACTGTACTTACAATAACTAATTAGCTTGTATTTTGGCAAATCAGCTATACAAAATGTAATATTATATGCAAATTATTTGGCATTCCTTAGAAACAACTCGTACTTAACAATATGAACTTTAGAATTACGAATAAACTATTTGTACTAATTACTGTCTGACGTCCACAGACTGACTGTCTGTCCACATACCACTGTCTATGTGGTATGTATGACTGTCTTTGTGGTACATACCACAAAACCCGATAAATTCTTACATTTAAATTATACATTACATAGCGCTTTTTTAATGTTCCATTATAAATTACACATCCATGCATAAACGTACTAAAGATTTTGGATACATGTACCGATGTATTTTAACTCACAAGATTTGCTATGATAATCACATTTTCGTCATTTCTTAGATGTAGAATGTTCCTCAAATCGTTAATTGAGTGTTGAGCTACTAATGTATTGCATCTTTAGAAGAATGAATCGACCAAAGTTTGCGAGGAAAAAATAAGTCATTAAAAGTTAAATTAATTTTTATTAATCTGAACTAATGACAAAGAGTTGCGGGAGACAGTTGTTGGTGAAAGAAAATCTCCCAGTCAACCCCGCCTCTGGTCACTACAGCAATCTTTACTGGTTTGGTTGTTTGGTTGAGTGAAAATAGTTAGTGCTGACGAGAACAAAGTAGTGGTCGAAGTAAATCAGCTGGTTTGTGAATGAGAAATACCATGTTTTGCAAACTATTGAGAAATAAGCTGTTTGCAATCTATTAAATAAATCAGATAAATCATCAGTTTCTGTCATATACTATATAATAATATAACATAACGACCGACACATTGATAAACCTTACCTGTAACGAATTTGCATATGTTTGAAAATATTTCAAAATTGCAAAATGTTTCATCGCTTTGTATAAAAAATTTATTTTTATGGATTATGTAATACTTTTCTTTGCATGTGTTTGGTGAAATATATGATGTGGGCATTCATATTGTTAAAGCTATCTAGAATTCACTTTCATTGTGTGTTTAAAATTCAGTCCGGCTGGAAAGGTGCTGAAGCTGGCCTTATTGTAAACGGATTAAAGGGAGCTGAAATGGGCTGGCGAAGCGCCTGTACAGAAATGGGACCATTATATCTGACGACCACTTCATCGGACATAACCCGGACTCTCCAGCCAATACGCTTTATTTAAAGCTTATATCGGCACAGGCACGTTTCTGTATCTGCAGTTTGAGGCAGTTAGGTTAGGCGAGAAAACTGATACAAGAACGTGGCTCAACTTACTGACTGTTAATTTACATACAACACTCCTTGCGTTTCTGCTTACAATGAGAATGACGTTTGTGTAGTGTCAAGTTTGGGAATTCCTTTCGAGGTATTATAGCTAATCCTAAACGCTTTTACGTCTATATTTTTATGCCAACCCTCAAGAGGCATCCTTGTTTTATTAAACTTTCATTGACAAATACGCTGACAGGTCGAGGAGGATTTATTCTGGTAGCAATCGCAAACGATCTTCTTTCTGCTTATCAATAACTATTGGAAGTTTCACACAAATCACGTTTGAGGAAAGCAATTGTACCCTATTATTTCTATGACACTTTTAATTTACTTTAGTAGTACTTGGACTTGTTACGATTGTATCAGTTATAAATTCAAATTGCACCTGCCTAAATAAAGGAAGTGTTTTCCAACTATTGAACTACCCGATAACATGGACAACAATGTCCAATATTTCCATTACAGTAATGATTCCTAATCGGTTCTCCTAATGATCGGGCGATTGCGGATTGCAGATAGTGATTAACAGCTGTAGATTGCGGATTGCAGGAAGGAGGATGTCGTGGAAGGCGTGTAATTATCATCGTAATTATACGTCCACCCTTCGCCTCTCACTCCGCACTCCGCACTTTGCTGCTTTGATCTGTTAATTGAGTTATGGTAATTGAGTGTGTTTGTTACAGACTGCCGCTGGCGATGAGACTTGCTACGCTGCCGACCTAGCCATAGCCAGGTAATTACAACAAGTTGATACAGATTAAAGAGATGCATTTTAACTGAAATTAATTAACATATTAAGTTTTGTTGTTTATGTTTCTCAATAAAATATCCTGTTGTTACGTGTCCTAGAGCCTTTGCATAAGATGTATGTCTATAACTGCGTATTTCTGTAAAAGTTGACTCTTCAAAATGAAAAAAAAACTTAAAAGCCATGTTGTAAATATTGAGGATGGCCAGGATTTTAACACTTTGGCAATGTGAGATAGTTTGTTAAAATTTTCCTCGATATAATGAACGCAATCCAAAAGTGGCATTTTAATAATATTTGGGTTAAACTTGAGCGTCGTACCGCTTGGTCTTAGTGCTGAACTAGTACCATTTTGGCTTTAAAAGTACCTATTTAGATGAAGCAGACACGATATCCCTCCATGTTTGTTTACACAACATAGCTTGTCCGTAAACATTTTTTCAACATAGATGAGAAAGTTTTAAAGTCTTGTTAAGTTATTTTAAACTTTAGAATATTGTCGTAAAAAAATTTTTACTTATCTAAAACGATGTCGGTGTCAATTTAGTAACCTATACTATTGTCAAACGAGACAGTAAAGAGGCCATGCAAAGGCTATGTGATCACATTTGCAGTCAAGGAAACCGCATTGCCCCTGGGTGAACAATCCAATCTCCGGCCAGCCGCTGTACCTTGCTGTGACCTGTTGTACCTCAATCTCATCTAATACCCGGGCTGTATGTAATAAGTTGTCTGTCGAGGATAGGTACGGTATAGTCTAACAGATTTCATAATAGTACTTTATACAAAGGTAATACAGTCCTTGATTACTTTCAAAACGATTACATATGCAGTGTTGGGGTCTGCGGGAGTTTTTCTAATGTTGTTTATATGTGTATAAAATAACATGTTTACATGTATCATAATAGTTAACAGTCTCCGCCTTCTAAACCAACGGTCACTAAATTATTATTTATGGGAAACAAAAAATAAAGGTGTTATTTAAGACATAAGTAGTTGAATAACACTAATCCACTAGTTTATCCCTTAGTGAAGTTTTTAATACGTTTATAAAATAAATTAAGAATCTGGAAATAAAGTCATAAAAACTCCCCAGGCATGAAAATGTATATAAACAAGTGTTTCCAGATTAAAATATAGATTTTAAACTCAAATCGAGTTAAAGTTTTGATCCTTTATTTACCTCTGAAACTGACAAGACGAAGGTGGACATTTTACCCATAAATTAATGTTTGACTATATACGGTACACAAACCTCGCATGTAAGATAACGTAGTGAAGTATTGTACTAGCCGAGGGTGACACATGGCTCGATCCACCTCACTCCAGGCTAAGTCTAAGTCACTGATTAATGTGGGTTCAAGATTAATAGCCTCCCCTGACCCTGTTCTGCATTTGTATTAAAGTGATAACCATCAAAAACAGGGCAAGTAACCGTAGGGTGACATTTCCTACTGCCTACCAGTTAAATATGTCTTGACCTTTCTTCTTTTTAAAAGAGTATGTGGAATAGACCTACTACTGAATCATATATCACTGGTTTTGTTTTATCAAAGCTAGACTATAAAGTTTTGGGACTAGTTACTGTAATAAAATATTTATTATTGTGCCCAAAAATTTTATTGAATTAAACCCTAAAACAATTGGCAAGAACCTAAATTTCAAACATTGAAACGAAACTTGTAGTGTAATTTGTAGGAGCTAAACTTTTATAAATTGGTTTTTATACAAGTTTAGCTCCTACAAATTACACTACAAGTTTTTTTTTATAACTGAAAAGGGTTTTCAGTAGCTATACTTTTTGTTGTATATTTATTAGAAACATATTTAGGTAGTTTTATTACATTCTTTGTGAAAGGTTGAATTTAATACAAATAGAAACTAAATTAACATTATGAGCTGTTAAGGTTTTGAAATCCTCGTGCCAGTATCTACTAATCACACTCCGAAACTGAATGTTTATGAACTCAGAGGCACTGTATATTTTGAAATAAACTACCTATTGTAATTCCGGTCCTATATTTTCATACTGTATAAGTAGAGTATGTTTTCCACACACGATGTAGCACGACGTAGCCTGTACAGTGTAGAGTGATGTGCTGCTACACGGAGCGTTGGCAGAGCTGAAGTTGGGGAAAGGTAAATCTCGCAATATCATAGAGGCCCCCGAGCTGTTGTAACTAATACCTTGGATTAATTGTCTAAGTACATCTCCCCCTCCCCCCCATCATACAATCCCTCCCCTGCAAACGCGCCTACAGAGGACACGTGACGGACTCCAGTTGAGTTGTGATGGTTAAGTGTTTACCAAAACATGTACATTACATAATCATGTAGTATACGAATCATGTTCATGATGTGCTGTGCACATTGTTTTAACAGGGCGTTCCTCGATTATCAGTGAACGTTGGGTTTAAAACAAAAATGCAATGAATTAATTATTCCTATTTCTACCATGATGATTTTTAACTAAATTATATTCTTAAACAATTGGATTTTTCCTGTATTATGTTAGTAACTGTTGTACAGTATTTGTTATTGAAAAACATTTCTTGGAATACCTCTTCGTTTTCCACTTTAATATACTAGTTTCTTTTATTTCTGTTGTACATAAAAATATTAGTAATTCGTGTTATTTGTAGTTACAAAGTACTCTAATTACTTCGTTGATGGCAATGTTCAAACCTTAAAATACGATACGGTATTATTAGGTAGACGAAAGAAGAATACAAAAATTGCTGAGAGATCTCAGAACAAATTACTGTCAAAAGAATTAAATACGAATTTTCTACAATGCTCAAATCACAATATGAACGGTAGAGAAGAGTTTTAGGGCATTGTTCTATCAACAGAATTGAATAAGAGATTTGAATTAAATAATGTTGCTTGCGCGATCTCCTAATATGAACGTGTTTCAGTTTTCTTGACGGTGATTGCAAAGTGTTTTTTCGTATTACAAAACTTTTAATTTTCTTTGGTTTCAAAGGAACATTTGTTAGTAAATATTCTCAAAGTAGACTGTAATATTTTCCTGAGATAAACTAATCGCAATGTAAACGGAGGAGAGGTGTTCTACTGCCTCGCTCTAGATGCACAATCCCCCGAGAAGCTTATAACCCCTCGTTGCAGCCTTTACATATTTAACAGGCCAATCTAGAACAAAATAAACGGCATTTTGCTCTGTTTTACGCAAGTTTCTGCAGGTTTTATGTAAATTCATGTATAAAACAAGTCAATAATTTCCCTACAAAACTTTTTCTATACCAACAAAATTGTACAAAAGGTTATAAACAAATAAGAAAAACTTCCCCAGTTTCCCTACGTATCCATCTGCCTGTTTCATAAAATCCAGCCAGGACAGATGAGTAAGTGAGTGAAGTAAAACGTTAAACATGGCTCTTACTACATTTGCCTATCTACTGTAGATCAAATAAACATCTATAGCATAGCAACCTTACTGAGTCGATCAGGAACCGTGTTGACCGAACGTATAATTAATTGCATTATTTAACTTTTGTTGCACGTTTTCGTTTTACCCTATTTTTATTTGGGCCTCTTTATAGTTTTTCAAAAAAAAATAAACAGTATTTTAAAATTGTATACATTGTTACCTTGAGTGTCACATTTTCAGTACTACACTGTTTTAATATGAATTATTCGTATATCACCCCAAAAATACCTCCCACAATGTTTTGTAGTTACCTTAGGATCGTAACAATCAAGACAAGATCAAGTAATCCAACGTTACCTTACATTGAGTTACTAAGAGAGTGTATGTCGTATAAAGAAGATGCCCACTGGAATAGGTTTTCCCCACTGTATCTTGCCCTCCCTGTAAATAACACCTTACACTTCAATGAATTTCCCGACTACCCCTCCCCTCCTCTCCTCACCAACATCATCCCTCACTAAGACCTCTTCACTGCTGACGATGGTGGAATAAACACTGATTCCGGGATTAACGAAATTATTAATTAAGAGAGGAGCGTGTCTTCAACTCAGTTTAAATATCACTTGTCAAAGCATGGGTTGGAGAGGAGCAAACGTACACCTTGTAAGCGATAAGACTTTGAAACGCAAAGTTTGATATTTTGTAGGAAACCTTTGATATTTCTCTGTCATTTTTGGAATGATTGTAGGGTATTTCCATTACCTTCACATTATTATTCCTACCACATTTCATTTTGGAATTATCAATCCTCTCTTTCACAATTCACAATTCATAGGAGAAAATATTTACATTGCCTCCATTAATAATACTATACTTGTTTGCTGTTTTTGCAATGTTTCAACCTAAGAGAGCTTTGCTTTTATCTACTCGTACGTTAGAGTTTGTTTGTTTATCTTAAAATATTTTGTATTCGATTAATGGTAATTTATTTATGCTTCTTTGTTGTGTGTTTAATTCCTCATAAGCATACAGAAGCCCACTCATATACATAGTGACCAGTGCAATAGTGTGTTAGTGTGCTGTGTGAGGGAGGAACTACAGTACAGTCTAGTCCATCGACCCCTCTGTACAATCAATACCTCTGACCTTGAACACACCTGCTAATGTATTTCATTAGTTGTGTTTATAGTTGGAGGATAATGAAAATATCTGTCGGTTTTGTGATCTAGGATTATGTTTTTGGTGAAATCACTGTTAAGTGTTATCACAGTATCTTTTCCTATGAATAAAATATAAAAGGGTAACTTTTTTCCTACTTTCAATTTAACAGAACTGTGGCTTTGTAACGTAAAAATATGTTTCTGTAGTTTTATAATGTTTAATGTTTAATTTTAAAAATCCAAAGTTCAACCACTTAAATATACTACCAACAAAAATAACACCCCTTACATCGTGCTAAGGGTGGTAGTCTTAAGAGGTTGTTCAACCTCTTGTTGGTAAAAGTATTTTTCTAATCTGACCCCAAAAAATATAAAAAGCAATATATAACTAAAGTATTACGAAATAAGGCAGTGCTATTTTAATCAGACTACTT